AGCAGTGCGCGACGCTTTTTGATCCGCTCCTCGAGAGTTGAACGGGTCTTTTTTACTTGTACCCATTCACTTGTTAATGATTTGGAGGAGAGGGCATTTGTCCGCTGTTAGGGCACTTGGCGTTACCTAATTTTCAGATCCGCCTCGTAACGGATCCCGTCAATTGACTCCAAAGCCCTAACGAGTTGGCGCGCAAGGCGTTGGCGCTGCCTTTGGCGAGCTCTCTTCGATAAAGTGGGCACGCCTTCTGTACTCAACTTCTTGATTGAGGAGAAGTTCAGATCTGCAGATCCGGACTCGTTGGAGGCTGGAAGGGTGTTGCAAGGTTCAGTTACCGCAGCAATGGGGGCATTGATCTTCCTTCGCTTGCGAAAGGCGGAGGATCTGGAGGAGGAGGACGACAGATACTCCTCGAACTTTAGTTGGTCGAACTCGTATTCGACCACTTCTTCAACCGGGATGCAGATCTGAGGTTGCAACACGACAACTCCGGTAGCGAAGCTGTTGGCTCCTACTGTGGTCGCCAGTTTGTTTTCGTCGAAAATTAATGTATTCATTGCGGTATTTATTACAACTTCAGTCGTTACAATGAAAACAAAAAAAGATAGTCTTTTTATAAGACTTACACAATGAAAGAAATAAAAGATTACAACTTTCGTCAAACAAACGCAGGGAAATCGTTTATCGATCTTCTGCTTGCGTGGGATCTTTACCTGTGTCGGGGTTTATCCGTGGACGACCGTCGATTAGATCCGGTTATTGAAAATTCGGCAGAGCTTCGTCTTCACCGAGGAAGTATTTGATTTGAAGCACAGAGATCGACCAAGCGAAATCAGTAGCTCTTCTCGAGATTAAGACCAAGCCTAATCTCGAGGAACGGACGGGAACGGGTGTCGGATCTCTCGAACTCTCCTTCTTTATGCCGAAGAACTCACCAAGATCTGTCAACCCTTACTGAAATTCGTGCTCCTTTGACTCCTCAATCCAACAGCACCTCCTCCTCTTGATAATAAATCGCCCCCCTGAAAGGAGCACCCGAGCTCGTATTTATAAGCTTCGAAAGCGGTTATTTGGATGAGAATAAATGATTCGTCCTTATCTTCAGTTAATAACTGATTAACCATGTTAGGGGATGATATCAGATCAGTTTGGATGCTCAGGAACGACCAAATCCCGAGAAAAACTGTCAAAAACCGAACCGGGTCGAAATAGCATGCGCAGGACAGATCCGACCCGCGCCGGCGTGGGTCGGTTGCGTCCGACCAGTGCCGGCGCGGGTCGGATCATTCCGACCCACGCGGGCGCGGGTCGGTTTGGTCCGTACCGCGCGACGCGCTTTTGGCTTCGCTGATTTTCGTGTTTTCCGGTTCTTCCGAGACTTGTATTTTCCACCGTTTTGCATATTTGATCGTCTTGTTGACTTGCACGCTCGCGAACTGATTGACGCGAACGTGTTGATTGATGCGCGCATGCCACTTGGTTCGTCGTTTCGTTTTATGCGCTTGTCGACGACAGATAATCCTCTTAGACTCGGATAACGACGTTCATCGTCTTCTCTTCATCCCGAGCTATGTGCGGACACCCATAGGCATTTTTAGACGCCTACAAACCCTTCATCATAAAAGGAAATGAATATTAGTATGAGATACATAAAATAAATGTATAACCAAAATTCTCTTAAAAACTCAAAACTGAGGCAGGTGAGAGAGAGAGAGATAGGAGGAGTGGTTTAATTACAACATGTTAGATGTATGGAAATGTAAGAGAAAGGTCACTACTCTTTAGCCATAAGTATCAATATTAATCTTGATGATATTAGCATAAAAAATAAAACAAGAAATATATTTTTTTTAAAAAAGTTAAAAACTTGCATGGGCAACATATTTGTACCTTAGAAATAGAGGATGATGCCATGACTCCCCTCTCCCCCCTTGACTGCATTTCACATGTAAAAGATTGTTTACTATTATTTGATCCCCTTACATATTGACGCTGTAGTTTGATGAGATGTTTATAGAAAAGAAAAAGAAGATTACGGTATAAAAAATTAAAGATATGGAGAATTATATTTGTGATTTGTTATGAGAATATTAAAGATGATTAGTGGAGATAATGTATGAGTGAAGAGGTGTGCATTAATGAGAAATTATTAAAAATTCTAATGGAATGATATCATGTAAGTATGTTATCATATATATGTAGATTTATAAAGTTAGAATTATTAAATTTAAGAGGGATAAAAACAGCATTCATAAGTTTTAACACTCCAATCCTCTTTTATATATAGTATAGATATAAGTATAGATTTGTCTACCAATCTTTCAATTGCATGCATTAATCGGTAGATAAATTCAAGTTTACAATGTAGCACAGGGAAATAAAAATGATGATACCATATAAACTAAATTCTCTTTTCAATGTAGAAGGGTGAAGTTGGCTATAAACCTTCATTCAACATTAGACAAAAACTCTGACTTGTTTGTTTCTAATGAGTGGTCCTTTAATCACTCCAAATTAGTGGCCCTTTAATTGTTCTTACATTTGACTTAAGACATGGTTGAAAAATTATTTTCCAAATGTGTGTCACATCCCATTAATTCTAATTGGAATTTTTTGTACATCGTGATGCACAAAATGCCATTTCTTTTGTAACCTATTCAAGATTAATGCAGTAGTTTGTTGTATGTGATTTTTTATTAAATTTTTTTTGTTTTAATTCAGATGAGAAGGATATACCTTTGTTAGGAGAAAACTTTGAAAAAATTAGATCCAGTCAAAAATTGCTAGGACAGTGATACTATGGATCCTATCAGAATCATCCTTGTAAGTGTGGGGGTGATCTACACCATAAATAGAGGATTTGTAATTTTTAAACTACCCCTCTACCACCAATAAATGGTATAGATCACCATATTTCCATAGTCTGATAGAATCCTTACTCAGACAATGAGATGTTGAGTAGAAATTTTGGTCTATTAACAAAAAAATGCAAAGAAAATATTCATTTTGGACCACTTATCAAATAACGTTATATCTAAAACATTGTAATGTCCACTGGCCAGTCAGTAACGATGCATTTGGTCTGGATGCGGCTCAGATATGATACTTACTAGATTCATATCCGCTTACCAATCACGGATATGGATATGAATATAGATATGCCTCGGTAAGAAAACTTCATATACAAATCCGCTAAAATCGGATACATATACAAATATGCACGCAAATATATAAGCAAATATACATGCATATACAAAATGGATATGAGACTAGATAATATTACTAAAAAGTATATTTTATATGATATAGAAGAGTTCACTAATATGTTTGTTATATCTAAAAAGCTAAGATTAGGTATCTTGATCATCAAAATTAAGCTCAAATCCATCAATCTAAGAATTAAAACTGTTACAACAGTATGACTAATATATATTCAGATACATCACTACATAATAATATGTATAATTGTATCCTATTGATTATAGATTTTAGTAACCATATATAGATATTTTCTCGAATACCGATATTTTGGTGCACCCGTACCAGTTAGGGTTCGAATCCTCTCCTATTCTTTCAAAGTTAGGCCGAAATTAAGTTGAAATTGAAATCTTTGGGGTTTTTCTTTAGTTATAATTCGATGTCCCTCGAGCACCGTTTGCGAGTTAGATGGTTGAGAAGTTCTAATATTGCTCTCACTGTCTTGTGTTCGATTAAAAAAATATCAAAAATCTGATGCCTCTCGTGAGGAGCTTGAGGCAATGTTTCCTGGATGTACCGAAACGCGAACTCGTGCCTCCTCCCTTGACATGAATTTCTTTAACCAAGTTTTCCTTTGTTATAAAAAAATTAAACCATCAACTAATAAAATGATGCATAAATCTATTAGAATATTTCGTTATTAAATATATATATATATATATATATATATATGAACAGCTGAGAGAATCCGGTCCCCAAAACGTCACACACGGAGATTGAAATTGTTAGCAAAGTTGCTAACCCACTATCAAAAATCCTGCTCTCATAACAACAAGAACAAACCGCAAGAATGTAGCATCTAGTTCTTCTAAAGGATCCAATTCTCCGATCCCCCTAAAATCCTTATTCTCATCTATCTCTTGCAAGTACGAACACAAGCTCACAATTATTTGCATAAACTAGTTATTCCGTCAAATTAAGACCATAACCTTAGTGACAATTATCTCCCTTTATTCAGAGAAATAGACTCGAGAATAAAGAGCTCCTTCCAAAGCTTTTGAGTAAGAGAGACGCAAGGAGAACCGTCTTCATCCTTAACTGTCCCTTTAATCTTATTCCCTTGTGAAGATACAAGAAAATAGAAATTAGAAAGACATAAAAGAGTTATCATTATTTTTTTGCTCATACACCCCTCTAAAATCTGCATTTTGCTAACTTACACTACATCCTCATTTATCGAAGCTTTCTACCCCTATCATTTAAGATCGTTATCATTGATAGTTGATACGGGTTAAGTAACAAAAATACGGATTTGGAGGATAAAGTCGGACGCATATATATTTTTGGGAAGAGACATAGCATTTTTCTTTCTTTTTTTTTTATTTCATCCATTCTCGGTCTTAAATTTAATGGTGTCATGTGAGAGCAATCTTTTAACTCAACGTAAAAAAGAAGAAAAAACGTAAAGATAAATTAGTAAATATTCCCAAAAAAAATTTAGTACATATTCAGATTTGGGGTGCATTTGCAATAATGTAGATTTCGTGGGTATATTTGTAATAAATCGTTTAGAAAAATAATCAGGTGTAGTCAGAACGCCAACCCGAGTTTGTTTCGAACAACCAATCGCGAGTACTGGGTCCCACTTTTGAAAACAAAATTAATTAGTATTAAAAAAATTCTCATAATAATTAGCTCAATTTTGTTATTAGAATTAATAAATATTAATAAAAAAATTAGACAAAAGGAGAGGATAAAAGGAAGCGGGAGGGCAGAACCTCAGAGCTCGGCAAGAGAAAGAGAGTAGTAGTGAAGATGTGGGGTCATTTTAGGAAGAAAAGAGAGGAAATAGTTATATTTTTTTAATTCCCAATAAGGTCATGCTCTGCTTCATCACCAAGTGCTGTTCTTTGTTGGTTTTTTGCCCCTCTTCCCATTTTGCCCCTTCTTTCTTTGAGATCTCCCATTAATAGATCCTTTCTTCTCTCGTAATCAAATGGAAAGTGCTCGCTAGATTTCCTCAATCTATCGATGGGAAGTTTGGGAGTTCTATTTCGGGTAATTTCCTTCTAATTTTCCCCTAATTTTTTTTGGGTATTTTGGTAAGTTTCTGATTGTTCGTCCAGGCCTTCATGAGATCGATCTGATTCGATCGAGAGATACCTTTTCTTACTGTTCAGATCGATGATTCACCGATTTTGATTCATGGATATCTTCAGAAACCCTAAAAGATTCAATTTTTGTGGGGTTTACTTGCTTTTCTAATCTCTATGGCCCCCAAAATCCCTCCTTCCTAATTTGGGTAAGATTAATTTTATCTGCCTGAACTAATTTCACACTTGAAATTGACCTTTTGTTCTATTTCGGATTCCGTATTTTGTCATTGGGAGGGTGAAGAGTGGTTGTCATTAGTAAAAGTTAAGATTTTGTTTCAATTTTGAGTTCAAAGATAATGTTGGAAGGTAATTCTTGCTTGGTTTCAAGAACTTTGCCAAGTGGTTGCGAGCAAGAATTGAAGTGGGTTTACATGACTCTCGAACTCCTTAACAATAACAAACACAAAGAAGAACTTGAAGAAATAAACAGGAACAAGAAAAAGAAAGGAATGATGGAATGCCAGTCTTCATCAAGTGAAGGCTCCTCATCTTATGGTCTCATTAACCCGATTGGTCGGGATATATCCATTAATTGCCTCCTCCGATGCTCTCGCTCTGATTATGGAGCTCTTGCATCCCTCAATCGTAGCTTTCGATCCTTAATTCGAGAGGGAGAGCTCTATCGGCTGCGTCGTCAGCAGGGAATCGCCGAGCACTGGGTTTACTTCTCTTGCAATGTTCTTGAATGGGAAGCATATGATCCTTATGGCAGTCGGTGGATCACTCTCCCTCGAATGCCCTCTGATGACTGCTTCATGTGTTCAGATAAAGAATCACTAGCTGTTGGCACTGAGCTTCTTGTCTTTGGAAAAGTTGTTCTTTCACACATTGTTCTTAAATATAGCATATTGACTAATTCATGGTCTCCTGGTGTTGGAATGACTTCACCAAGATGCCTCTTTGGCTCTGCAAGCTTAGGAGAGAAGGCTATAATTGCAGGAGGAACCGACGCTTTTGGTAATATATTGAGCTCGGCAGAGCTCTATAACTGTGAACTGCAATCTTGGTTCACTCTTCCAAGCATGAATACACCGAGAAAAATGTGTTCGGGTGTTTTTATGGACAACAAGTTCTATGTTATAGGAGGGATGGCGAGCAACACCAAGGTGTTAACTTGTGGAGAAGAGTATGATTTGGAGAGAGGGGTTTGGAGAGTGATCCCCAAAATGTCTTTGGGGCTCAACGGAGCGAGTGGTGCTCCTCCGCTCGTTGCGGTGGTCAAGAACGAACTCTATGCAGCGGATTATGGAGAGAAAGTAGTTAAGAAATATGATAAAAGGAATACCTCTTGGGTGACTCTTGGGGGATTGCCAGAGAGATCTGTGTCGGTTAATGGATGGGGATTGGCTTTTCGAGCTTGTGGAGAGAGGCTAATTGTCATTGGAGGACCAAGGGGATTAGGGGGAGGGATGATTGAGCTCAACTCGTGGATTCCGGATGAGGGGCCTCCTCAATGGGAGATGATTGCGAGCAAACATTCAGGGAGCTTTGTTTATAATTGTGCTGTTATGGGATGCTGATCAGAAAGATTTGTCAATGTTTGGGGTCTTGATTCTTCATGATCGGTAATTTCTTCCTTTTCTTTGCTTTTTCTTTTTTTCCATATTAAGATTGGTCTCAATATTCAATAGAATGGTCTCATCTATGTAACTCTTCACTTATTTTTTTATCCACGTCCATTTCTTGTTTCGATCATGCTCGTTTAGTTTGCATGTGGAAGGTTCGGTATCCGTGAACGAAGTTTTTAGAGATATATGTTCATGCAAGCATGACAGATTAATAATCTGATGTAGTTGTTTTTTTATTTTTTTTATTTTAATTTTTTTTTGGTCCGGGCTTAGCATTGTTGGGTCATTGATAAAGATTTTTATCCTTTGTTGGTTCATGATTTTGACCTATGTTTATGAGGAATAAATGGATAGAGAGTTTTACTTGTTATCAGTTGTAATTGTGCTTTTTTACGTTAGCTTTATTTTAATGAATATCCTATTCTGTTATGTTGTATATCTCTTTATGTTTGGGTAGTGATAATATCAATCTTGTGTAAATTGTGTAGCCTGTTTGTTTTTGGAGTGGTCAGTTTTATATGATGTCATATCTATTAAATTAAATTCATAGCAAGTGCATGTAAAGAACTGATTTTTTTAACATCATTATTTTCTTCTATGGCAGAGAGAGGATTAAGATACTTTCAATTGCAAACTTAAACTGGCAAAAAGCTCAGATTTGGCCATTTGGGGTACAATAGGGGGTGAACGTAGATGAACAGCATATAGGTTGTTAAAGAGTTTGTACTGTGGTTGTCTTTTAAATCAAACTTTATCAAATTTGCAACAAGTAATTATATCATTAAAATTTAAACCCAGTATATATAACTTCCTTTATTCAAATTACTATGTAAAAAAAGCTCAGGCATGGAAAAGGTTTAGCTTTCTTTTCTGATTCAAAGATACAGGAAAAGTGAAAGGAGTTCCAAGTAGAAACAGCTTCAGCACTAAAAATTGCTTCCCCCCCATCATTTAAGGTACAATTAAAACCAATGAGGTGTTTGCTGCCTTTAATGAAATAAGTAAAGAGCAGAAGCAATTTGGTTATTAACTTGTGCATGTAATTCCCAGACCTAACTACCCAATATGACTTTAAATAAAATACAATCTTCTTTACTCGAGTCACCTAAGTTCACAGTGCTTGTGTATTGAATTGATCTCTAGTGCTTTGATCAGTTACATGGCCAATCTTACCTCATCATCATCATCGTTCACGCTATTTTTCTTCAAAATGGAATTAGATACAGATCAAAGCAAATCCAGGGGAACAAGAATTGGTTGAAGTATAGGTAAATTCATTAGTGTCTATTCTTTTGTTGTCAACTCCCTTAATATCAGAACCTAATGTAATATATTTTCTACATAGGGGTTTCCTGTTAAATGTGGCTAGACTGGGGCAAATTGTAGCCTGAGTAGTGGAGTTGATATTTATCCAAAGTGGAAGAAAATTTCAAGAGTTTCTTCTAAACTTTAAGGTGAAAGATAACGATATTTGCCACCGACAATCGCCTTTGTCTCTCAGATCCCTTATTTAGGAATAGTTGCTTCCGGAGATAAATATTGAAACTAGTTGAGAAAAGTGTGGTGTCTCTTATATCATGTGCTAGTAAATTTTTTTTACCCTGCCATTCTCAAGCTCATGTTAATATTTTACTTTTACATCATAAGCTTACACGCATCAGGATATGTACTACCTTTTTGTGATATGTGCCTTGAATCTGTAGATTATTTGTGCCTTGTGATCTACTTCTTTCGCAAGAATTAAACATAGCTCATAGCGTCGCATTGTATCACGATCATTTTTTGTGCATCAATTTAGCTGAGTTTATAATTGAAAGAACTTTACTGGCTTCCAGTTGCTTATGTCGATAGGTAGGCCAATTTATCATTATGTTCAAGTATGAGGTGGGAAATGAGATGTTTTCGTGATCATTTAGCTTCTGCTATATAGTTGGTAAGGGTAAACTTGATGTACATATTGACCCTTATATGATTTCAAAATGGAGATATGTAGCATAGGAAGTGATGCATTTGTTTGCTTTATTCCATATCGCTTTTGTTTTTATGAGTATATTGTTGAAGTTGTTGACATTAATTATCAGTTAGTAACGAGGATTAGATAGAATGTGTAATGTTCGTTCTTATTGACATGTTGAAGTGATTGTTGAACATGGATATGTATAAAAAAAAGCCTGTTACTCTTGAAATATACTAATTTAACCAAAGGAAGGGTTTTAGTGGTCTTAGTGTTTCTTGCTGGTGAAGCAAACCTACTGTTGATGAATCATTTAAGTTTCCACAATGTTACATTAATTTCAGTAGCTAATGTTGCAATAAAAGTTAAATTCATTCTATTTAGTCAGGAAGTAGTATTTCGTTAAGATGATGGAATAGGATAAGACGAGGCGTGGAATAGGGGTTAATGCAGTGATGTTTGCATGTAATTGCTTGGTGATGGCTTTCTAAGGCTAAGGTAAGATTTTGCTTTTATACTTTCTTGACCATAGTGAATGATGACAAGGATTAACCACAGATATACGGTCCCCATTCAGTTTATTGTTGCAGATACACAGCCTCCTGAGTGTTTTGACTCGTTTACCCACAGGAGTTCTATTTGTCAGGAAAAAACAATTCTCTATTATTCTGAGGGTAAAAAAAAGAAAGAAAAAAACACTCAGGGTATCTTTCACAGTTGGGGGATAGTACAGGGGGTCTGCTTGCAATTGGTGTGATATTCTTGTACCTATTTGCCATCTCTATATTAAATGGACTGAAATCTTTCCACAATCTTTGCACATGAATTGTTTTGCAGGTTCATTTTTAAAGAAATTTGTTCTTTTGTGAAATAATGTGTAGTCATAGGCGTGTTTGCTCTCTGTTTGTGGTTTGAATTCCTGCAACATACTGAATGCCTTTATACACCTACAATGCAGTTGTTTGAACGTTATAATGGCCTTTGGATTTATTATCTACCTTGGTCCTACAATAGCGGGCACTTTAGTTCCTATTAGTTTTGCAAAGTTACATGCAACCTCGTTAATCCTTTTCTTAAGATGCTCATTATTTGGAAATCATTTGATTGCGACTAGGTTAATCCTCCTCCATCTTTTTTCTTATTCTGCCCTCTTTGTAATGTAAACTGAAGAATGACCAGGACTCATTTGGCTAGATGGTAGAATACAACAAGAAGGACAATTTTTGAGTTAGCATTACCAAAAAGCCAATAAGACCTCAGGGTCCTTAGGGCATGTGGTATATGACTAATAGTACTGACAATCTTTTGATCTTAGGGCATGTGGGTGTATAACTGATCATATGGTTAATTGCATTTATAACCCTGAAGTATCGCTGTTTTGAACTTTACCGCCCTTGTGGTTTCATGGATGCAGATGGACACCCTAAGGATTTTTTTTTTAAATTTTATTTTTTCACTCTTTTCCCCGGGGTGAAATTTTTTCGCCTTTTGCCTCTACATGAAATTAGCGAGTCCATCCAAGAGTGAAACAGTCAATAAAAATTTTAACCCAGGAGCTCTGTCCGTAACAATGAAACTGCAAGGGTAGTAAGTCCAAGACGACGATACCATACAGCATCTGTGTGCAATTACAATCTTGATTTGCATTTTTGGGTCCATCCCTGTCTGACTTCTGCGGTTCATGATGGTGCAATCAATTGTGGAAGATTGAGAACCGGGTCAAAATAGCATGGAGTACTCTGCAAAAAGTTTTTTTTTTTTAATTTATAGGTATCACTCATTGTTAGATCCTCATGAAACTGGACCATTTTAAAGTACACCCCAGTTTGCAGGACCTTGGTACCATTTAATCTTCAGTCTCTTTACTAAACTTGTCTAGTTTCTCTCCCTGTTATTGTGGTCCTGAGCTCTGTTCTCTGTTCTCCCCAACATAAGAGTAGTTCAATCAGTTGCAGTTGTGTTTGCTTGATTGTGTTGTTGCTTTCAGAAAGTTTTTGCTCTCCAGTTGCATGCTGTGCTCTTACAGTCATCGGCTATTTTTTAACTTTGAACAGGAGTTAACACTATAAATACTCTTCTGTAGCTTTATGTTTACTAAATACAGCAAAATGGATTGGTCCGCCCTAAAAAACCACCTTTAAAATGGAGTCATTCTACAAAAACTACTGTTACTTGTCAAAAATTACCTTTTAAATGGTTTTTTGTTGCAATCAACAACGGAAACTCACTTTTTAATCAAGTATTTTTGGGTTTGCTATAATGATTAGCTAGTCTTTTAGTCCGTGCTAAGCATGATCTTTCCACTAGTATCCGATTCTACTCCCATTTTCCGGTCTTTCGTTTACGAAAAGAATCACCAAAAATCACTAGGCATCCTTCCAAAAATCACTAGGCATCCTTCCATTGAAATATCGATTATCGAGAATATATATCAGTTGTATCTCATTTATATGGTTATAGCTATATATCTTATGGCCAAATATTGTATACGTAATAGTTAATTTGTTTAATATTTGAATAAATATATTACAAATTGAAATAATTTGTAGTTTTTTATATTAATAGTTTTTATCTATAATAATTATTTTTAAAATAGTTATGAATTTTAAAAAGTCTTAAAATTTATAATAATAATTTTTAAAATAGTTTTTATCTACCACCAAATTAAAAAATATTTCATACTATACCTATCACATTATATCATAAAAAGTTATCCTGCCTACCACCAAATTAAAAAATAATCCCTTCCCTACCAAACTACTTTAAAAACTCATTCCTTTCCCACTTATACACAACATTGCAATAGAATTTTATTCTCAAAAATTTTGGTTTCAAAAGCAATCTAAATAGTGACTTTTGATTTTATTTGATTCATTATGATGATTCGTATATATTATGTAACATGGATATTATGGTATATTTGTTGATTCGTATATATTTGGATTTCAAAATCTCTTTATAAAGTAAGTTCGGATACAATTCAATTGTTATAGGATCTTAATTTTTACTTTTTATATTTCAGTTAATATTTTGCAAATATTTAGATGTTGTTCAAATTTCAATCATTCAATTTCGCTTTTTATATTCTTAGGTAATATTTTGTCCTTATTTAAGCTGAAGTTATATGTATTTATATTTTGGTTTTTTCAAATTTTAAGATCTATAGAAAGGATACTATAGTTAAAAAAATTTGGTCTTGTTGTGAAATACTTAGTAAAACTAATGATTTATTCCTTGAGATTAGAGAATTTAGAGAGTTAGAGAAATGGAGAGAAGTAAATTCATGAGTTTATGGACATTCATAAATAGATTCATAACACACCCTCTTGGATATCCATATTATACAAGGAATATGTCTCGTTAAAACATTGCTAGGAAAGAACCTAGTGGGGAAAAAATCTTAGTGAAGAAAAAATAGT